CTGAGGCTGGCCTTGAACTTGCAATCCTCCTGACTCAACCGTCTGAGTTGCTAAAATTATAGGCATGCACCATGACCCTCAGCACACTGTCCATTCAACCTAAGCAGAAAGCACTTAGTTCCCCTAGGTCTTTCTAAAGTCTTCAGTATCACGTAAAATTCCGGTGAAATACATTTGTCCTGTTCTTCTCTTATTAATCTGTCTTTTGTTATAGGTGGTATGTCAGCTATGGATGCTGTGATGGATGAGGAAAGGAGCTCCTGCCCCCCACAAAGGTAAAGTCCCTGCCTTTACAGCCTGTAGGATGGGGGTGAACTAAGTGCAGTTGCTGATGCTGAGGAAAACCCTGCCCTGCCCACATTCTCCTCATTGTAGCCTCTTTCACATTCTCCTCACCTAAACCCTCTGCAGGGCCAAATTCAGGGCGGGCCACCTGTGACATCACAGAGCCTCAAGCTTAGATGGGCCTTCTGTTTGGTTTAAGGCTCTCCTGCCATGATCTTAGAATTCTTCATATGTTATTTTGAACGAAGGATCCCAGACTTTTCTTTTCCCCAAGTTATGTAGGTAGTCCTGCCCTCTCAGAGACAGTAAGGAACAAACATCCGAGTCCCACATGGGGTTGTTTAAGGGGTCAGCATTCAAACTCCAAGCAAGGCTAGATGTACAGCCAGGCCCTCAGCAGCCTCTGCTGGAAGTTCCACCTTCTCTCTATGTCTAGCAGCAGGCTAGTCCTCACTGTCACCTACAAATAGGCCTGGCTGATCGATTTTTAAGGGGACATCTCCCAAGGGACACAGCGTTCCCTTCAGCTCCTCCTCCAGGCCTGCTTCCCAGGGCCTGGGCTATAATTCAGTAGCAAACTCTCTAAAAATGTGCTGGTTTTGTTGTCTAGACTACCCCAGGAGTGGGCCTGCTCAGTGTTTCCAGAAGTGAGTGAGCAGCCTGTATTATCTCTGCAGACTTCTGCTTGCTCAAGGCCTCCTGAGTGTCAGGGCCTGCAGGAGAGCACTTCCAGAGCATTAGCACTTCCAGAGGAAGCTATCACCGCAGGAAAAGAGAAAGGGGAGCTCTGGGCCACAATCCATAAGGGTTACTTAGCCACGGAGCTGCATAGTCAGGGAGGAGGGAGCGGTGGGCTCCAGCCTGAAAGCTCAGGATCACGTGTTCCAAGAACCCTTTGGATTCCCCTTCCTTCAGCCCTCTTAGCCAGGAGGATGAAGGCAACTTGAGCAATAAACATGACAGAACACGCTGGAAGGGTAGAGGCTCCATGAATATCCCCGTGGATATTCCTTTTTTTAGGATGCCTTTCCTCCCGAGGCCTGCCTGCGAGGATTTTGGCAATAAGAGAAGGACTCATTTGTAATTTCCCAACTGGAGAGGTAGAAGCAATATGTTTAACTGTTATTCAACTCCATCCATCCATTTATGCATTCATCCCTTCATTAATTTAACACTTACTGAATGCTTATTCAGGGACCAGCTGTGTTCAACATTATGAGGACTGCTGAGCAGTGCAAGACAAGGTCTGGCCTCTGGAACTTAGAATCTAGATGGTTAAGGAAAAGAGAATTGCTCCTGCTCCCCTACAAAAGTCAAGTCCTTAGGGCTGGGGATACAGCTCAGTTGATAGAGTGCTTGCTTCAAATGCACAGATTCTGTGGTGTGACAATAAGTGTCAAAGTGCAGTTTAACAAATGATTCCTGGGAGCATACTATTTAAGGAATATGAAGACATATGAAACAGGGTCCCTGCATTGGAAAGCCTCCATTCTAATTGAGGAGATGCCCATCAGGGAATGATTTGGTATGCAGAGGGCGCAGCAGAGGAGGGCTACTGAGCCCAATCCGGAGGATGTAACATCTGAACAGTCCTGGCAGCCATGCGGAGGAAGCCTGGAAGGGTGTTGTAGGCACAGAGAACAGTATGAAAAGATCCAGTGGTCATGTATGGTTGATAATTAAAGCAAGGTGTTCTCAGAGCAGAAAATGAGGTTAGAGAAGTTGGATCACGCAGACCTTGTTAAAGAAATGGAC